GCATAAACGCGCTATATAAATACAGTCCATTTACCATTCACAAATAGAGAATGAAACTCAATGCAGATCTGTGGATCCGATGAGGTTTTGTGGTGTCCGAACTTGAACCTACTCCAGTGTGGACTACCCTATTTGCTTACCGATAGCCACTTGTCCACTTATACCACAAATGGTCTTGCCATAAGAAATCAGGGCCAGTTTAAATTATTTAAATTCTCACTGCCTTGTTGATGCCATTTCCACTGACAGCAAATGTTTATCCTAAACCACAATCAATTAATAGTAATGATGTTATCCAAGTCTTAAAGAGCTAGCATTCAAAAGCAGGAACAAATATTTCAATTAAGAGGCCCAAAGCCTTCTATACACACTTCCTATGTTCTCAGTGATGTGTATGTTTGAGTGTTGTTTGTTTGTATGTTTCATTATGCTTTTGGTGTATGGATATATCTGTAAGACAGATGTCAGAGGGTTACGTCTGTTTCACAGATGTAAGATTTGGTGTCTAAAAGACAAAATATGGCATCACTTTCCAGTAAATGTATAATTAGCTCTGTTACAACATCACATTGAGTTATAATTTTCTGCATGTCCCTAAGAAATAAACATTTCTTTTCACTGTCGATTTCAGAGGACGGTTGTGAATGAAGAAGAACAGCAGTCTTGCACTGGTCGGCTCTCTGTGTTGTTTGTTTCCATTGGTAATATAACTTTTAGTCATCTGACCCTCAGAGGCACATTTATAATGAGTCCATTTCAAGACTGGCTGCAGTATAGCTGTCCCACAATCATCTGGATCAGTCTTCAAAGACCCCACAAGAAAATAGTCACAGAATACTAAAACAGTCCAGTGACTGACACAAACCAGATCTACAGGACTTTCTATTCTTTCTGTGACAATCATGACGTTAACTGAAACCGTTACAGTACTTGGAGACTGCCTTCATATGTTGTTTGTAGCTTTAGATACGACTTGGTTATAAACCAGCTTTTTATTTTTTATGTGGAGATTGTTGGAAATTCTGCCGTGTATGAATCATAAAACAGCCTTAAACTGAAGCACCGGTTTTATTGTTCTATGTCATCGTCTCAGAACATCTTTGTTTATGAAATGTAAAAGTCATGTCTCTTTGCTCAGGAGTCTGGAACACTTTCTGAGGCTGCATGAGAAAGAGGTGTTTACCCATGTTTCTCTTACTGGCGCAGTTAACATGCTGACCCGTGTTCGTTTCCATTTTGAGCACATGTAGTATGTTCCAAATAATGTGTTCACAGGGGAGGGCAACAAAACAGAGCCTTAAAAGGACACAGCACTGCTTAATTTAAAATCAGATTGTAATCAAAGTGCTCTGAATTATCACTGATGCTTTGCAGTCACTGAGAATGATCTACTCAGTAGCTTGTCCTTAACATGAGTGTATCTCTAATTTAGACCACCCTTTGTCTGTAAGTCAGCCTAATACGTTCAAAACCAGCAGCTCAACCGCAATGACACAATTAAAATTACTGAGCCGAATTGTCCCTAAAGGTATTCTCATCCTAGACATGAGCAATCAAGACTTATCCAAGGCATGACCAGTGGAGCCAGAGGGGACCTGTATCAGCTCATAAAGGCTGTGTAGCACTTCAATGAGCAGCTCTTTAGTACTTTGCAATATTAAATTTGACTTAATATTGCAATGGCAGTTTAAGCCAAAACCATGAGACAGAAACATAGCCACATGTTTAAAAACCACTGTATTCATCATTAGACAGACATCATTATGACTTTTAAATTATGACCTAAAAATAGAAAACCTTACAACTGTACGTACATCATCAGCCACGTAATTACACTAAGTCACATCTTTTGTACATTTTCAGTTAAAATTTGGAATCAAACTGGTTAATATGTGTAGTTTTGAATTATTTCAGTTGCTATAAAATTATCTGTATATCATGCATTTCTTAACGTAAAGCAAACACCATTTGAATGACAATCGTTTCCAGAGGGGGAAGCCCCTACAGCCTTCCTAAACAGTTCAAAGAAGAAAAAAAAAAAGCCCAATACGTTGGGTTTCACCGCATCCAACAAATTGTTTTCTGGTGTGATGAAACTTTTTTTTCCCCTCTCACAGACGACTGATTTCCAACATCTGAGTCTTGTTAGGACTCTTACACAGAACAACAAGACTGCAGGGCGAGGCAATGAAGTGATCAGTCAGTAACTGGTCTGATCATTAGTTCAAGAGTGATTCATGCTTATTAATACAACACAGTGACGATTACACAGCTTGAAAATTTCAGTGTCACAAAAGGGTCGGAGAGAAACTTTGTGCATTTGTTTGTTTGTGCAAGTATATGTGGGTGTGTTGCCATACTACAGCCCAAATTCAAGCCACAGAGCCACTGACCAGATGTTTGCTTCCTCTCTCTCACAAGCTGTTACTCTGATTTTTTTTCATGCCTTTTCTGTTTTTTTTATCTTTTATTGCTATTCACCCATTTACAGTATTTAGCAAATGTTGTACCTCTGTTCCCACAGTTAACATATGTATCAACATTATACTCAAAACCCACCTAATATAGGTCAGTGATACACCTGCTTACAGTGGGTATGGAAAGTATTCAGACCCCCTTATATTTTTCACTCTTTGTTATATTGCAGCCATATGCTAAAATCATTTAAGTTCATTTTTTTCCTCATTAATGTACACACAGCACCCCATATTGACAGAAAAATACAGACTTTTTTGACATTTTTGCAGATTTATTAAAAAAGAAAAACTGAAATATCACATGGTCATAAGTATTCAGACCCTTTGCTGTGACACTCATATATTTAACTTAGGTACTGTCCATTTCTTCTGATCATCCCTGAGATGGTTCTACACCTTCATTTGAGTCCAGCTGTGTTTGATTATACTGATTGGACGTGATTAGGAAAGCCACACACCTGTCTATATAAGACCCTACAGCTCACACTGCATGTCAGAGCAAATGAGAATCATGAGGTCAAAGGAACTGCCTGAAGAGCTCACAGACAGAATTGTGGCAAGGCACAGATCTGGCCAAGGTTACAAAAAAAATTTCTGCTGCACTTAAGGTTCCAAAGAGCACAGTGGCCTCCATAATCCTTAAATGGAAGACGTTTAAGACGACCAGACCCTTTCCTAGAGCTGGCCGTCCAGCCAAACTGAGCTATCGGGGGAGAAGAGCCTTGGTGAGAGAGGTACAGAAGAACCCAAAGATGACTGTGGCTGAGCTCCAGAGATGCAGTCGGGAGATGGGAGAAAGTTGTAGAAAGTCAACCATCACTGCAGCCCTCCACCAGTCGGGGCTTTAGGGCAGAGTGCCCCGACAGAAGCCTCTCCTCAGTGCAAGACACATGAAAGCCTGCATGGAGTTTGCTAAAAAACACCTGAAGGACTCCAAGATGGTGAGAAATAAGATTCTCTGGTCTGATGAGACCAAGATAGAACTTTTTGGCCTTAATTCTAAGCGGTATGTGTGGAGAAAACCAGGCACTGCTCATCACCTGTCCAATACAGTCCCAACAGTGAAGCATGGTGGTGGCAGCATCATGCTATGGGGGTGTTTTTCAGCTGCAGGGACAGGACGACTGGTTGCAATCGAGGGAAGGATGAATGCGGCCAAGTACAGGGATATCCTGGACGAAAACCTTCTCCAGAGTGCTCAGGACCTCAGACTGGGCCGAAGGTTCACCTTCAAACAAGACAATGACCCTAAGCACACAGCTAAAATAACGAAGGAGTGGCTTCACAACAACTCCGTGACTGTTCTTGAAGGGCCCAGCCAGAGCCCTGACTTAAACCCAATTGAGCATCTCTGGAGAGACCTGAAAATGGCTGTCCACCAACGTTTACCATCCAACCTGACAGAACTGGAGAGGATCTGCAAGGAGGAATGGCAGAGGATCCCCAAATGCAGGTGTGAAAAACTTGTTGCATCATTCCCAAAAAGACTCATGGCTGTATTAGCTCAAAAGGGTGCTTCTACTAAATACTGAGCAAAGGGTCTGAATACTTATGACCATGTGATATTTCAGTTTTTCTTTTTTAATAAATCTGCAAAAATGTCAAAAATTCTGTGTTTTTCTGTCAATATGGGGTGCTGTGTGTACATTAATGAGGAAAAAAATGAACTTAAATGATTTTAGCATATGGCTGTAATATAACAAAGAGTGAAAAATTTAAGGGGGTCTGAATACTTTCCGTACCCACTGTATTTATCTGATCATTTATTAATCAATCTTTGGCCATAACATGTCAGAAAATAAAAATTTCCATCATAATTTTGTAAAGTTCAAAGCAATATATTCATTTTACCCCTGGGGGTAAAATGCATTGTAAATATGCACGTGTAAAACCTTGCCCTTGATTTCTCTCGAATATATGGTCTTGTTCTTAGGTGTTTTTGAGTTGTTTTTCCAGAGATCCTCATGGCTGAAATACAGGTATTGCCCCCATTGTGGGATTAATTTTGGGATTAATTATGGGAGTAATATTCTTGTCCTTGATTTTTTAAATACTATATTTTGTCTTGTTCTTAGGTATTTTGATTTGTTCTCAGGGATTAATTGTGGGAGGATTATTCTTGTTCTTGATTGTCTCTGAAATACTTACTTTGGAATCTGTTTCTCAAGATATGTGTGTGGTGTTTATTCTTATGTTGTTTTGTTGCTGTTCTCTATTGTTGCTGGAACACAGAAATTTCCCCTTTGTGGGATCAATAAAGTCCTACCTATCTACCATATTGCTTGTTTTAATCCACCAAAACCTAAAGATACTCAGTTTAGTGGCATATAAAAGCTAAGTCTCACAACTGAAAAGTTAAATCACTGCAGTGCACGGTATTTTAACCATAAAAAAAAGTTCTATTAGTCCAAATTTGCTGAAAATTTGTGTTGATCAACATTTCAGCTCTAAAAGACTTGCACTAAATAAAGGAAGGATTCTCAACGTATGGCAAAAGAGTTACATCATCTGGCACAAATTAGCATGGAAATGAATGAGAACTCGACATCATACTTGAAGACCACGCTGCTCGGGTTTGTCTTCCTGCATGCCTTCACATGTCAGTGTATCAACACTTTGCTGAACTCTTCTTCAGATGGGATCGTGTGTCTGTATGTGTACTTTTACAGGTCTGCCTCAGAGATTTTTATCACACCACACTCACTGCATAAAATATCAACCTGCTTGGTAAGAGACTCAGACATTTATGACGTGTCAGGCGAGGATTTACAATGACACGTCATCTTGAAACAAATTGAACATTGCTGTCCATGGTGCTGAATTTTGTCATGTAAATGGTCCTTTGGTACATAAACACACCGTGTATAAAATGTAACCAATCAGCAGCTATTTTGATAAATGACTAATGGTTTTCCAAGCATAATGTAAACTGAATATTGATCAGTCAGATAAAACCAGCAATTAGAAGACATCATCTACAGCTTCAAGAAATGAATTACAGTTTTCAATATTTAATTACATCTTAGGAAACTTATAATGAAAATAATCATTGCTTGCAGACCCATTTTTAAGTCCTAAAGAAATTCAGACCTGAGAAAAAACACAACACAATATTTTTACCTCCTACCATCCCTTTTTGCATGGCAATTTCTGTGCTGATGCTGCAGCTACAAAAGGCATTGTTTGAACTTCCAGAGATACTACTTTATTATGGATTTCCACCAAGGAACTACTATAGAAACACAGTAGAACCCTATCAAGTGTGCCTGCTGCATACCTCGGACAGGAGTCAGTAGTTCATAATGATGGAGGACAGGGGAGGAGAGGTGGAGAGAGTGGGCAGTGGTAGAAATATGGCTGCTGTCTGAGCATGAGAAAGGGAAATTAAACAATACTGAAACTAGACAGTAGACCCAGATTATTAAACGGCAAATCGCTGCTGAATACTGTAAATACTGTAATGTACAACCTCTTTCAATCAAACAGACGAATGTTTATCTGAAGATTAAGCTTCAAGGTTATAAAATGATAATAATGGATCATATCTGGCAAAACAGCTGAGGGAGAAGCTCAAAACTGCTCTGTGCACTCTTGTCAGCTGTCAGGCAATCATGTATGATGGAGGAAGGACAGTTGCCAGGAATGTCATTATGCAACTGTTCAGTCAAAGACACCACTAAGTTGACCATTTGGCAGAAAAGCCTTTCAAAGAAACAGAATAGCACTGAGGATTCAGCTGACACACTGAATCCTCCTTAACACACACACACACACACACACACACACAACAACTTTAGCTAAAGGAACTGCACAAAAACCCTACAGACATAAGAGGCTGGGATGGCGGAGGTGGTAACAGTCATGCTGTACGCCTGCATGAATATGACCGGGCATTACTAGTGAGCTGGCAGCCACACAGCTGTGAATGTAGAGCGTGAGTGAAGCAGACGATTCTAATCAGCTAACACAAGCATGACTTCAATGCATAACCTGAACTAATGCTATGCTTCATCTTTTCTCTCTTGATGTCATTTAGTTCGGTAACAATTAAAAATGACTGAAAATTTATTTGAAGTTATGACATGCACCTGTTTGTAGAGCCAGAGTATCAAAAACTGCACACTATCCAAAAGGTGTCATTGATAATTTTAACTTATTCTGCTCTTCACATAGTTCCCGACTTAGATGTAATTTTGCCAATTTCAGACTACCGCATTTAGGCACCGTTCTTGTGTAACCCTCCAACCCTTAGGGAACATTTAACATCAGAACTTCAGCTTTTTTGTACTCAGTAAAGACACTGAAACTCTGATATCTTATCAGTACTAGCATTGAAACATTTCAAATGATACCCAGCACTGATCACAAGAATCCAATATCAGAACATTGGATCAAACTCTGCAAAAGGAGGTATATATGAAGGAAAGACTTTCTTTCCTTCATTTGGACCTGCTCTGCTCAACTTGTTGGGTTTGGCCTGGGAAGGGGAGGAGACAGAATGAAACAGGGGAGAGGGAGGTGAAGAGAAAATGGGGTGGGACAGATCCCCCCACACACATGTGCAGACACACACACACACACAAATGCACACAACTCTTCAAAGCCAAGTGGCTTTCACGGACACCCAATTACACTAAGAGATGACATCTGGGGAACTGCAGCAGATAAATAAGGTGAAAGGAAAGACAAGATTCAGTCACCTCAGACAAGCGCCAGATAACCAGAGAGAGCACCGCTGATAGACAGGAGAGAGGGAGAGGCAAAGAAAAGAGGGAGGGGGCCAAAGGAGAGAGAGCCACACAGGAGGAAAGAAGAGAGGCAACACACTGCTCCAGTGCTCAGACCTCGAGAGGCAAGGACAGAGGAGAGACAGGGAGCTCAGCTCACTGACAGACACCAACAAGAGAGGCAGAAAGATGAGAGCTCCCGGGATCAGTTACACACTCAAGTAACTTCAAACCACGTCAGACAAAACAAGAGAAGCAAAGAAAAAAGAAGAGAAGAAAGTCTGGATTCTGACTTTCTGAGTGTGTGTGTGTGTGTGTGTGTGTGTGTGTGTGTGTGTGGACTGCCTCGAGTGGATTTCTCTGGACATTTTATGAGAGCATTAATCCTTTCTTGACTTCCTGTTTTTATTTATTCATTTTGTACTCAACACTTTTGAAATCTTTTATCCAGACCTCCTCCCCCCGGCTGTTATACACTCTCCTCGACTGGAGAAGATAAATGGTTTGGGACGTGTGTGGAGCAGATTGTGGTAGCAAATATGAATGAAGTGATACTTTCACTGTGTGTGTCTTTGGACGTGAAAGTATAAGTCAAATTTTAAAAAAGGGATTTTGAGTGCCTGTGTGTGAGCAAAGAGGGGCGTCTTGGGAGGCGAGGGGTCGCTGAGGGAAGCCCCCAGTTGTTCCCATCGTGAGGTGATCTGAGTTATGGATGTTGACGGC